GAAAAAAAGAAAGAAAATAGAAAAATTGTTTAGATTTTAGAATAGAAGATTTACAAAAAACTAAAGTCAAAACAATGAAAATTTTTAAAGAATATAAATTGAAGAAAAATATTAAATAAACAGAACAACTAAAAGCAAAGTAATAACAAAGGTGATAATCTCACTTATCACCTTTGTTACTCGCTGTAATTAAGTGCTTTTATGTCACTTTTTAGGTGAGGAGACCAGGCTTGGATAACATACATTAGATGAGGTCTAATGTATGTTGTGTAGAGTACCCTTCATAACATCAGCTCTTTTGTGCGAAAAGATTTTTTTAGTTTGCCAAGTATTTAGTTTGCTCTAGCTGCTGCAGCTTCTTCTTGATGCTTAACTTTGAGTAAAACTTTATCCATAACATGGGTTCCTATCAAGTGAACTTGATATTAAACATAAATTGCACATTCTAACACCTAGTGTAATACTGTCCTGTCTCTATACCAACCTTCTAACTGGACTTCTTCTAACTTTCTCTCTAACATCCTTCATACTTCTAAAAATTTTTGGTCTGCAAAGGGGTTATGATGCTATTTAATGAGCTGAACTGGTTTTTATGGGCCTAGGTATGCAGCCTCTATATAAGGCAGTTTTTTGGAGGAGGATAAACCACATGGAGGATAAACGCATGAAAAGAAGGTATTATATTAAATAAAATAGTATGTTAGATGTATTTTTATATTTACTTTTTTGTAGTGCAGCCTAAAAAAAATTTATAATTAAATTATTTAAAATTGTAGTTTTTGACAAAGTTGTCTATAGAATCGAAATTTTGATGTTAAAAATTGTTAAATTATTATTTAATTACTTATTAAATTTAGATACATTGATTAAATTTGACTGTGACTAAAATGAAATACCGTGAATGGGGGTGACTATGAACGCTTTTGAAACATTTTTGTATCATAGAAGAAAACTGTTGGCCTAATCGCTACCCTTTTTTTTGTAACAGAACATTATACTTTTCAGCTTCCTGAATTATTCCTAGGCCTGATAAGCACTATGCAGTAAATACCTTTATTTTCTGGTTCTATATGACCATATCCGTATTTCTAAAATGGGGTGAGAATGAACAGCCGATTGGGAATGACTTTGAACAACACATGATATTTTAATTTTTTATTTTGTGCGCATTTTAAGTTGCTCAAAGTCCATTAATTATAGTTTTTAGCCTCAAAGTGTTATTTAACTTGTTTAATGTGTTCTTTTTGAAAAATGTGAAAGTATAATAAAATAAAATATTGCCTGTACTTTGTTTAATACTCCTAGCTTATTTTTTTTCTTTTTTATTTTCGAATCATAGTTCCTAAAGTTTGCAGAAGAAAACTTAAACTATTTGTAGAAAAGTCATTTTTAAATGATCATAAAATCTGAAAAAGACAAGTTATACCATAATTTATAGTTTTATTAGAGCAATATGCATTTGAACTTGATGTGCGCTAATTTTTATAAAGTTCTGATTAGCAGTTTTTAAGATATGCTATTTAGTTTAATTGCCTGAACCACAGAACCACTATTTGAGACTTACACGAGATGTTTAAAGTAGGTGAAAAATAATTTTTTTGAGGGCAGCTAAAAATTAACTTCTTTATATTATATTTAAGTCATCTGAATCAAAATAACACACTATTTAGTTATACCATTCACTATCCTTCACCAATTAGTAAACTTGGTATTGATGTTCAATTTCACCCCGTTGTTCATAGTCACCCCGGTTCACGGTACTATTATTAAAATTTTTTCTAAGGTCATGCCTTAGTTTCAGTTTTAACCGAACCTTGAATTTTAAATGTACCTGCATCTAAATCTTGCATTGCTATGCTAGACGATTACATAGATATTTTCAAAGTTCCCTGGAAAAGCTGCCGGCTGAAATCATGGGTTTACTTCACAAGAATGTTCCTCTTTTGCCACGAAAAACATGAAAGTACAATGATAAGGGTCATTTGTGATGATATATTTTCATACTTGTTTATAAAAAATCTATAAAAATCCATAGCTTTTTTATATTACCTGCAATGTATTCTTTAACTTTATCTACTTCTGACCTATACTTTCTTCTTTACATGCTCACTCTACATACAAATTTTCAACATTACTTTCTTTTCTTTTTTTTTTTTTACTGTAAATAATGATTTATTATTCTGACCTAATTATTATTATTTAGATGTATTGCAAAAATAAATCCTGAAAAATGAAATTAAATTGAAAAGAAAATCTGGTAAAAAAGCAGTCGGACCTCACCTTAAAATTTCGAGTTTTGTAAACGAACTAGCGCTTGAGTGGACAGAGCATCAATAGATCAAAAGACGTTTTGTTTATGTTTATTATAACTATTATAACGTAATATATGTAACAACTTTTATAATATAGTATAATTTTTCATAATAAAATTTTATTTGTTATCATATATGTTATATAGTATATAAAATAAAATATATATATATATATATATAATAACCGCTATAATATAATATAATTTGTTTATAATTATTATAGCTATTATTACTTGATGTGTATCATATTATAATACAAGTAGTTTCTTAATAGTCGAATTACATTTTTATTACAACATATAAACTCTATTAATTTATTTTTGACTTAAGCAGTTTTTCCGTTAATTTGCATGAAAAAATGAAATACGGAAACCGTACATTTTACGGAGAAAGTGCTGCCTTACATTCCCCGTTATTTTGTACGGAAAAAATGAAATACGGAAACCGTGAATTTTACGGAGAAAGTTCTGAAACTTTTTTAACAGACTTTTTCCGTTGATTTTTACGGAAAATAGAAACAACGGAAACCGTAAATTTGCTGCCGTGCACTTACGGAGAAAGTGTCACTGCTGCCGGACAATCTCTGTAGATTCTACAGGGAATTTTTTAACAGTGTATGCATGGTTATCCTTGGATTATGATCGGCACCACCGAGCTAGTGATGCCGTTCATGTACCAAGTTTGCCAATTTCGCAGATCTTTTGACAATCTTAAACCATGATTGTTATAAAAAAATTACAAAATTGCGCACGCGATAGTTTTTATAAAAACTCAAACTTTCTACACAGATTATCAAACATATTTTTAGAAAACAGTCGTATTTGTATTATAGAATTAAAGGAGATAGGTTATAATAAAAATAGATATAGTTATGGATGAAATACTAGTTATGGCGTTTATTAACTTCAAATTATTCAAAAATCAAAAATAGATGTAGTTATGGGTGATATACCAGTTAAGGCGTTTATTAACTCAAATCGTCATCTCGCCCCGCATACGGGACAAGATGACGTTTTGAGTTAACAAAGTTTTTAAAAGAGGGAAACTCTATGAAGCTATAAACGCCAACCTAGTAATCAGTTTGTAGCAAACTCCAACGCAACAAAATAAAAATATTGTCAAATAAAATATTGTATTTCGTATTAAAATAATGATTAAACAATGCAAGAATAGTAAACAGTACAAGTAATATTCCGTTTAATATAGATGACGGACAAGTAATCTTGCCCCGGTCATTTTGCCCCAGGCTAATACAACCTTTAAAATGAATCCGAACTATACATAATCAAGTTATCATAGCCTAATATTTCTTATATGGCTTCCAGATTAATCAAACTAAATAAAAATTACTTGCTTACCTTTAGTTGGTGATGTAGCGATGAAATAAATCAAGTCAAACGAGGATAAAAAGTTTTTTCTCAACGTCAAAAAAACTAAGGGTCTGCGTCTCAGAACGGTACAAGACGAAACGAAACAAAACGATGAAAAATATTGTTTCGATAAAACCGTTACGAAACGAAACAATTTTTATCTTTTTTCGCAAAATACGGTACGAAAAGAAATACAATTTTCTGGTTTCGTGATAAATACGGGACACATTTTTTGTTTTGAAAAAACCGGTACGAAACGAAATAAGATTAAACTTTTTCCGAAATAAAACGGTAAAAAACGAAACAAACAAACAAGAAATTTCTGAGTTTTACGAGAAATACTAATGTTTTTACGACAGATAGGGCTAGCATAAAATAAAAAAGTAATTTACTTTTATATTGTACCAATTTAAGCACACATTTGCAATTTTTACGAAAAATCAGTTTTTATTTAGACAATTATATTTCACGATTTTAAAATTTCACAATAAAAAGTAAAACATTTTTATTTTAATACTTGTTGAGTGTCACTTTCGGATGTTTTTTCGGATGATGTTGTTTCGGATTCTTCTGGAATTTCCATTGTTTTTCTTTTGATTCCTGAAGATGTTGGTGTTGATGGTAAAGGAGAAGAACATAATGGCGTTGTTGAAACGTTTTTTGTTTTGAACAATAACCTTTTTTGCTTATTTGAAAAAACTGCTTTAGGAATAGGATTTTTGGGAGGTGTTCTAACTGGAGTTAATGCTGGGGGGTCCAGGGCTTCTACAGCGTCGCTTATAATTTTCAAGGTCATGTGAGGATAGACAAGATCATAATTGACTTGAATCAAAGTTAATTGCTTTGCTGTCTGAGTGGAAAGACTGTGTCTTTTATCATTTATAATTCCACCGCTGGCGCTGAACACTCTCTCACTACAGCTTGATGCAGCTGGAATGCAGTGCAAATTTCTTGCCAATTGTGCTAACAATGGCAAAGTAGAGGCATGTTTCTTCCACCATTTCAGCACATCAACTTTATGCTTTTCTTCAACACGAGGCATAGCGTGGAAAGATTCAAACTCCCTTTCAATTTTCGGTACATTTTGACTAATGGTGTGGTTATTATTACCCTGTTCAATCTCTATATTTTGTAAATCGTCGCACTCATCCACACCAACTGGCATTTTAACTTGTGTAGCTTTATGATTATTTTTTTTACTGATCGAAACAGCGTCCGACGATGGATGATCGTTGATGACTTTTCTGGTAAACTCTTCGAAGATACCGTAATGTCTAAGCATATATCCTGAAATCATAAACAATAACTGTTAAATTTAGTCTTTTAACAAATAAAGAATATTAAAGAATGTTTTTTTTTACCAAGAAATAAAACTTATAACCTCTAAAGTACGGATGAAGAAGGTTTTCAAGGCATAGTGTTGGTTGTATCTTCCATGTTCATTGAATCGCGTGGTTAGGTGTAAATGCTCACTTAGTTTTTTACAAAAAGCATTAACTATTTCTCTGTTTTCCATATCAATGTGGTCATGAAGAAAATTGTCAGTTTTATAAAGCATAGTTAGCATATGATGAAGCACTGGTTCAGTGTCCTTGGACATGCAATCTGACATAATCTTCATTTTTTTTAAGACTGGCATCAGTGAAGCCATCAGTGAAAATTGGCTGTCACTTGGAATAACGTTCTGTAGTGGGTTGTTATTTAGTGCATCTTTTTCTCTAAGAGAAATCAACACATCTTTAAGTTTAAGGATTGACTCCAGCATAAAACAGTTAGAATTCCACCTGGGTTTTACCGGAGCAATGATTTTAACATAGTTTACACGGAGCAACATACACTCTTTTTCAATAAATTGACAAGCTAAGGTGGATCTGTGGACTTTGCTAGATAGTTGTGTGGCAATATCTATGCATTCTTTGACTTCTTGCACTTCATTGGTAGCATGTAGTAGGCTAGTGTTTAGTAGGTGGTCTGCACACAACAGTGATTCATATTTTGTTTTGTTCATGATTGACACAGCATGTTTCATGTTTGCCGCCGCATCGTGGACAATTACTTTCTTAGGCACGGCGTCCAATACCGGATATTTTTGGATCATTTCTTCCAGAGCCTTAAACAAGAATGAAGAAAAATTAATGATTTATAAGATAACTTATGCAGCTTTTAGGTTTTACAATAAATTATAAATTCTTTCAATAATTGACAAAATCCTAGAAGAAACGCTATTCTAGCGGAAGGATAAGTTTTACTTTTTTAAATTATTTTTGCACTTACAAATTTATATTTACGAGAACAAATTATATCAACATAAGAAAAATTACTTTGCTAATGTGGTAACCAGTGTGTCTTCCCACGAAATTGTCAAAGTTGAGAACATATTTTTTCAGTTCAAACTGACTATTGATATAGTGAAGCGTAAGAGTCATGTATGGATCCTGTGACCTAGAGGTCCAACCATCAGTGGTGATAGCCACCTGTTGACATGTGGAAACTTCTTTTTCAATTAGGTTTTGCACAGTATCCATAACGCTTTCATAAAGCAATGGCAGCTTGTACCTTGAAAAAGTCGAGGAATGTTTCACAATTACTTTTGGATTTAAATGTTCCACCATTTCTTTGAAGCATGGTTCATCTACTAGAGTGAATGGACTACTTGACCTGGCAATGTATGACATGATTACCATGTCTGTCTCCAATTGCCTGCCTGATTGGGAAGAATATTTCCCAATAGTTCCCCCATTAACACATTTAGATAAGCCTTTTTGTGATCGTTGATCTAAAAAAACGAAATAAAAATTAAAGTTAAACATGAAAATTATCTTTATACAAGGAAAAACATTATTTTATGAAAAATAATTAGAAACTTACTGTACGCGTCATTCAGTTCGAAGTCAGCTTCTGTAATTTCTTTAATATCTTCTTTTCTTTGGCGCTCAAGTTCAATTTGGGCTCTTAACATCGTAGCGTAGTCAGTGGGATGCTTTGTTTTCAGATGGTACCTGATACCACTAGTGGATCCATCAGTTAACTTGATTTGGATTTGACACTTTTTACATTCCCCACACTTAACACCTGACACAGTAACTTTATTGAAATAATTCCATAAAATTGTAGCTTTTATAGGCATGATTATATGATTGAGAATTACTATGGTTTTTAAACAATAAATTAATTAGTTTTGCAAAATATTTCAAGTTAACACAACAATATCGCATTTAAAATGTTATATAATATAATTTGAAGTATTTAATTCAAACAATGATTTCAAACTCTTCATGCGAGTTTATAAACAAATACATAATTTATGTCTGATGAACTTAAAGTTAAAATTTTATTACAGTAAAACGGTTTTACTGAAATAAAATTTTAACTTAAAGTTCATCAGTTTTACTAAAACCTACCTACAGAAGACAATATCTTTTTTTAACTTCGTTAGATGCGCTAAGCCTTATGAAAATGATGCTATTGCATTGCTTTGTTAATACATTTTTTTAGTTAAACTTTGATTTACGAAACATTGAGTTAGTAAGTATTAAACGTAAAAGTTTATGTATTGCTCGAGGGCATGGGAATCGTGAAATATCTGTTTGGGCGGGGAGTTATGAAATATTCCGTAAAAACCGATAAGAAACGAAACAATTTTATTGTGTTTCGTAAATAACGTACAAATCGAATAAATAATTTCACGTTTCGTAACAACATGATACGAAACGAAACAAGATTTACGTGTTTCGTATAAATGCGATACAAAACAAAATGATATTTTTTGTTTCGTAAAAACGGAACGAAACGAATACTCACATTTTTTACCGTTTCATACCGAACTTCCGAGAGAATACGAGCAGACGCAGACCCTTAAAAAAAACCTTTTTAACGCTTAACTTTTGTCACAAAGTAATATTTAAAAAAAAAGCGTTTATAAATCTAGTAAATATAATCTACTTCCCTTTTAGCTAAAGCTAAAAGGGAAAGTCAGCTGTTATATTTAGTTTTGCTTAAGAGATAGCGGTAGGTCGTAATCTTTCCCAATTCGTCATTTTACCCCATGTTCCCCTACTTGGAAAAACGTATTAAAATCATATTATAAATCATCGTAATGCAAAAATGTTTATAAACTTAATTTTCTAAGTTTATTAAAAGTTTTATATAAAATTGGCTAATGCTACACCAGAACACACACAGTCAGTGCGTTTGAATAAACAGATTTATTTCCTTTTAATAAATCCAATATTGACCTATCAAAATTGAAAGTAACAAGAATTAGCATTAAAATCAGCATTTACTATATCATCGACTGCAAAGCGTTCATCAATTTCTTTAACACCAATGTCAAATATTTCAGTTGAATATTTTTTTGTTTTTTTTTTAAGTTGATTAAGGTGACCCAAGAAGTCCTTATGCTCTTATCACAGAGCACCGCGGAAGAGCATTTAATAGGAAGTTCACGCCTCCTTCCCAACCGATGTCGCAAGAGGTGGGGTTTGAACCACGGATCTTACGTTTCTGAGGCAAGTGCGCTACCACTGCGCTACGGCGCAGTGGTAGCGCCGGAGCAATGGAGGAGGTTCGAGTAATAGATGATAAACGGAACAAAAAAAAAGGCTACAAAACCTAACATAGACTACGCAGACAATGAAAGTATAAACAGCAAAAAATAAAAAATAAACAGCAAAAAGTACTTCAATGAAAAAAGTGCAAAGCACACTTCCATGATTCAATGGTTCAATGTAAAAATAATTCGTGTCAATTATGGTTTTGCAACCAGATATGTACTCTAAAACGATATGTTTTTTTTCTTTTTCTTTCACATCAAATTTAAGTTTCAATCTTTTTAAACTTTTAAAAATATAATGGTATTTGTGTATATGCAAATAAAGTATAATCATGTAATTAATTTTTATCGATAATATCTTTCAAGCTTTTAGTTTTAAAGCTTTTTTTTTATAAAATGGTTTAATTATTGCGTAATTAGTTCTAATCCTAAAACCTTTTTATTATTAAAAGAAAATTTGTTCTTATACTTAAAACAGTAGCCTTACAATTCTAAATTTTTTAAATTTTTGTTGCACAATACTTTCTTTTTTTACATTCGTAGGTAGGATGCGGGCAACGGGTCTATATGGTAGTGTGAGTCTGCATAATATTTATAAGTTTTAATGACTTTAAATTAAAAGGATTTTATTTCTTTGTATATCCTTGATAGTAAAATTTTGTCTTTTATTTTATTTTTTTGTTAAACAGTTAAAACAGCGGATGCGTAATTTAAATGTTAAATGTTATTGATGCGGCAAACAACTTTTTAAGTGGGTCCTTTTTAAAATGAGAGATATCAAATGAGTTTTTGTTAAAATCTACACAACCATCATTTTAGGGTTTAGTTTACACATCTTTAAAGTAGAATTAAATTAAAGGTAAAATATTAGTGACAAGATTCTTTAGATGTTTGAAACATTGAATGGTGTCACCAAACCGCTTTATCGGCTAAATATTGGAACAACGTACATGTAATTTGAGTCTTTTATGTTTCTTTTATTTTGTTTTGTGGAAAAAAAAATTTTAAATATGTACTTTTTTTTATAATTCAAGAACGGAAGTTGAAGAATGATGTATTCTTTAGGCACAAAATAGAGGTATGTTTAGAAATAACGAGGTAGATTGTTGAATTTTGATTAGTGCAGAATTTTTATTTCTCATAGTTGTTTTGGAATTAACATTTTGGTTGAAACTTTTTTCCAGTGAGCTAATCTAGGTTTCGACTTATTTGTCAATTTTGCACTGAACTATTAGTCAATTTTATTATTTATGTAAGTATTGCAATCAAGTAACACTAGATAAATTTGTTGAAAACAATCTAAGCATTCTTACTGATTTTAATTCTGAATTTTTTCATATTCTCTCCAAGCTATTTAATATCTCCTTTTAAAATGGAATTTGACATTTTGAAATTATCACGTGTCATTCCAGTATATAAAAATGGCTCAGAACTATCATGTACTAACTACCCAGCACACATACGTTGTTAATACGTTGTAAAACATTAGAACAATGTCGCGCGTTTCTTTGGCACAACATCGGCTGCCAACGTTGTTTTTATATCATTATGGTTACAAATGCGACGTCGTCAACAACTAAAAACCAATGTTGATAAAACGTTTATTTAAAGTTGAAAAATGGTTATATTTTCTACATTGATTCAACGTTTTATTTTATACCTTGGCCCGACGTTGTATTTTAAGTTTGCACAAGGTTGTATTGACGTTGATTCAACGTTGAACTTTATTTGGCAAAACGTTATATGCAATATTATTTGGAATTAAATTTTCATTAAATTCTATATATATATTATTAAATTCTCTCTCTCTCTTTCTCTCTCTTTCTCTCTCTCTCTCTCTCTCTCTCTCTCTCTCTCTATATATATATATATATATATATATATATATATATATATATATATATATATATATATATATATATATATATATATATATATATATATATATATATATATATATATATATATATATACATATATATATATTGGCCGTGGCGCAGTGGTTAGAGCGCTTGCTTTATAAGCAGGAGATCCAGAGCTTTGGACATATTTCGACATATCATATTTCGCGTCACGGTAAGAAAGGAGGCGTGAACTTTCTGGTTAAATGCACTTCCGCGGTGCTCTGTAACAAGACCGTTAGGACTTCTTAGGGCACCTAATAAAAAAAAAATATATATATATATATATATATATATATATATATATATATATTTATATATATATATATATATATATATATATATATATATATATATATATATAAATATATATATAAATTCTATATATATATCACAAACATGATTTTTGTTCCGATGATCGAGCATTTTCAACCTTATTTACATATGTATATATATAATGTATACGTTGGCTGTATACGGGGTTATACATATATTTACGTATATATGTTCGTATATTTATATACATATATATATATATATATGTGTATATATGTATATATATATATATATATATATATATATGTCTATATGTATATATATTTTTATAAACGTGTATATGTATATGTATATATATATATATATATATATATATATATATATATATATATATATATATATATATATATATATATATATTATAAAATAATATTTATTTACAAAATTTTATAAAGTTACATTAACTGAACGTGTTTATAATTAAAGTTTTACATTATATGGTTTTACAAATTTAATGGTTTACATTTTTGAAAAGCTGTCACTATGGTTACAATAATAATGAAATAAAGAACGGTGTTACAATAATTACCATGGTTTTATATATATTTTTCTATATACATATATATATTTTTCCTTCTTTTTTGTGTTTTTTTTTTTTTTTTTTTTTAAACTTTATATTTTTTTGTGTTTTTGTATTTTATATTTTTTTGTGTTTTTTGATTTTTGATTTTTTTTTTATTTTTTGTTTTTTTATTATAGTGCCATTGTGCGGAGAGAAATCAGAAAGTTTGAAAGAGTTAAAGAGGAAGATGTTTTAAGAAAAAATTCCAAGTAGTTTTTATTTAAAAGAAGAAATTTATAACAAAATAATAGAAAAATATTTACAAGACTTTTACACAAACACCACATTACGTACGCTATAGAAAAATATTTAAAAAGGGAAATTATAACTCATAAAATAAAGGCTGGCAGTGATTATTTAATCATAATTAATAATATTATGTTGTAAAAATAATAATTTGTAGAGAAATGGAAAAAAACACTAAAACACGTAGATCTTTTATTGAGCTGATCTATTAGCTTAGCTCATATGTTTAGT